TTGCCGTTTCTTGAAACAGCTGAGCTCCCGTTTCTGTCGCGTATCAAGAGTCCTTCCCAAGCTTCGCCAAGTGTACAATAATATTATCGCTGAGTTAAGTCATCTCGCAGTCGTCGCAAAGAATTCCCATTAAAGGATTTCAAAGGGTAAGGGGTCGTGAGAGAAGATTCCACGTTGAGAACTCGGGTTAAATTATCGCAAAGTGTATTTGTTCCATCTACTGCAGGCACCGCTAAGCTGAAAGGAGCGTAGCAGCCTTTTGACCTGAATACCGGAGGTCCGCCATTTTAGCCTCATATAATGACGCTAAATAAGGGCACTAAACAGGTTATCCTATCACGTCGCGATTAAGCGACGACGCGATGTGATTCATAACGATTATCGGGGACTGAAATATATCGTACCGCTTCGCGAGGAATTTCGCTCGGCAACGCGGCGTCGAAAGGACGAGAAGGGACGACAGGCGTATAGCGAATAATACGGAAATATGTTCATAAAATAAAACAAAATTTGCTTCAACTGCCGCACGAGATCCTGCCCTCTTGTTTTATTTATATATACGGCCCGTTTAGTCAATAAAATTAATTACGCTCTTTAATTACCGTAATCCCGCGCATTATTCTATGCTGTTAAGCTCGGTACTAATCATCCGACGTGAAGCGATTTCGCTTTATCTTCTCTATAAGCGGGAAACGAAAGTTCAGTAGAATAAGTCTGGTGAATGGTCGACCATCGGCGAACAATTGCAGATCGATTATTTCCATGATCATATAGAGTAATCTTTCGTCTTTTTCTAACCCACTACGCGTACCATGTTGGATCTGTGAGATCCAAACAAATATTCGATTGCTAACCAACATTCGTAAAAGAGTTCTGGAGAATTTCAAAATAGCGTCTGATTAGTAGTTCCAAAATCTCTTCGAGAGATCTCCACAGCCCTCCTGTCGGGCCTTAATTAGTGGTCAATATTATCTCGTTTGCCTATATGTTTTATTGCAATCATTTTATGAATAAAAATTGTATTTATTACCAAACAGTATAGCATACACTCTTGCAAGAAATTACATTCTACCTAGCAACATATCGCTTAATTTTATTCACTCACAATGAAGAATATTAATACAAAAATTCAGAGGCTTGAAAATTTATTTTGCTATTACCAAATCAGTTTTTTTCTATTTCTTAACTGTAATATTATTTCGATTTTAATAAAATTCAGAGAAAAATATTTATGTTCTAAAAAGACCATTTCGCGTTTTTGTACCCACTATTCCTTTCAAAATAAATACTAAAAAAACACATAAGCAACATATCCTTGGGGCCATATAGCCCCGGTTTCCTCTATGCGTATATTCTCTCTCTATGTGGAAAGTTTAAATATTTACGTCTAAAAACCAACACAATAAGAATGTCCAGAGTTAGACACAAGTGTTATTAGTATCCAGTCATTGAAATTTTTAATTTAATAACAAATTTACTTAAATCTAAATTCTTATATTTAAACGGAATAAACAATTGCTCTGGAAAAGACTTATAAAATATTTGAAAAATATTTTGTATTAATATAAATAAATAAATATGTTGCTAGTACCCACCGAATACATATTTATTATTTCTCACGTGTTTTTCCTCTCACAGTGTACATGGAAGATTAATGAAGACAGAAGTGGCTTTTAATTAATGCAATATATATCCAAATTTTATCCTCATGTTACGTTCTATGTGCAATAATATTTTCATTTAACGCAAGCCATGATCCTGCCAATATTCTGCCAACCGTCACTCATCAGCACATCAATCGATGCCCTACGACTCTCGATTTCCTTCGCATCGAAGCCCGCGGCTATTCCGCAGCAGTGTAAATCGTGAAGCGCATACAGCCATCAGAGATAACAGGAGGAAGAAGAGAGAAAGAGTGAGTGAGTGAGTGAGTGAGAGAGAAAGAGAGAGAAAGAGAATTGGAGTTAAGGGCAAACAGGCAGCGCTAAAGGGCAGAGAGGGAAAGGAGAGAGCGGCCGGGCCCGAACCCCTTTTAAAACGCTCCCCGTGGTGAAATAAATTGGCGTCGGCGTGTTTACACGTTAGGGCGAAATTAAAATTCCTGAAGTGTAGCGAGGTAACTCCCGGAAGAGAGAGGCGAGAGAGCGCGTTGCGCCGGCGAGAGCGGCTAGCCGCGAGAGGCGGAGGGCTGGAGACGCAGGCTGGTGAAGAGCGTGGTGGTGTGCAAGGCACGGGTGTCGACGGGCGGGTAACCGAAGGAGAGTTGTGTTTAATTAATGACCGGACTAATTAAAAGCCCAAAGAAAAATACACTCGCGTGCGATCCGGGGCGACGGAGACGGGCGGGATAAGGGCCACCGTTGTGTGTGAAACACTCGTACGGTGTTAATGCATAAAAGCGCCTCGACGATGGCGGCGACGACGGCATAGGCGGCGAAGGTAAAGGTGGCGGAAACGCCTCAGCTAATAAGTTCGCCATACTTCAATTATCTCGTTCGATAGCATTCTGCGCAACAGCTATGTCTGTATGATATCCGGCAAATCGGACTCCATGAAACTCGTGACAGGATTGAGGAATTCACGGGAGTCGAGGATGCCGTGGATGCCGTACACGCGGAGAATATTAATAATAGTTTCTTTCATATAAATTCTTTTCAATTTTACTATGTTTCATCTAGTAGTGCAGGAACAAACTGTCAGTAAGGTATATCTTGTCAAGGAACACAAATTTCGCTAAGAACATAGAAAATCGTTTAATAACCCTTTTGAGTTCCTAAAATACAAGTGCACATAGAGAAATATCATTTTACTGCTAAGAAAAACGATTATTCAATTTACTTTCTTTCTTCTAAATAATAATCACTCCCAAAATATCACGCTAAGAATATATTTTTGATAAGAATCTTAAAATATTCGTCACAAATTTAAAGAAAACTCATTATATATTAAACAGAAGAATCTATTCTTCTCCGATCTGATTTGAAACAAATAACATTTATTTGAATACACTATGTACTTTTCTGTAGCATATATGAAGTAAAAGATAGTCAATTATGGCAGAATGTCGATCTATTCCTCGGTTAATTGCTGTGTAGCAATTTTTACTATAAAATTCTCCTCGTGTATATAATTCTATTTTCACTCGATTTTACTTGAATAGATAAGAAAACCTTGATAAGTATACGTCATCACACAAATAGAGAGACGGAGACTCATCAAAATCTGTATTATGATGTCACTTCCTAAAGCAAGATCGACAAAAAAAGGGGTATTAGTAATGTTTTTTAAGTCGCAAAACATTCACTTGTACACAAAGGGATTCACTGGAATCCCTTTACGCAATTCGGTAGTTCACGTAGCACTTTGTCTCAAACTAGCTTTCCTTACCTTCCTTACCGTATCGATCGAACCTTATCGGGCTAGTTCGCGTGTGCGCGTTCTATTACCCACCTATCCTTAGTGTAATGATCATACCACAGCTTACCAATGAGCAAACGAACACATCCTGTTAATGTATGAATCTTGCAGGGAGCAAACGCGGATTCCCAGATACAAACATGTGTATTCGTGTGTGTACCTGATCCGCACAATGCACTCTCTGCGCTACTGCGCGGCTCTAATTAAATAATTAATCGCTAATGAGTTAGAAGCGCATCGCCATAGCGCGACGTGTATAATAATCGGTAAGATATAGATGCGCCTTCTTATTAAGATAACCCGCGCGCAGGTGTTGTCTGCAACGTGTGTGCACAGGATTATTCTGAAATATTAAACTGCTCGTTCGCATGAAATCATTATCTCAACGAGGATCGGCTCTGCTATGCCGGCATTAATCATTCCCCGTGCACGCTCGATCACTGCGCATAATCACCGTAGGAACGTGATCACGTTGGAATCGCGGAAAATATGAAGCTCGAATAGCCCGAATGGCCGCGACCGATGCGTCATCAAACTCCGGAACTCAATTTATCGAGGAAACAGTAAGCTCGTAAAACAAAGTCCATGCGGGTATCGATGCCATCGAAGATAATCTCGATACCGCTGGGAAATTCCTGCGGGAGACGCAATATACAGCGGGACAACAAAAAAGTCCTCGACGACGAGGCTTTGCGTTACGAATGACGCGCAGCGCTGCTGTAAATAACGACGCGTTACTAATTTAGATCTCTGTCAGATAAAACCGTCCTGGCGGACATCCGTCACAACGCTCGTCATTCGATTGCGTTTCGATACCGCCCGATCTGCGCTTGATCGCGCCTGACATTGAAAATATATAACGCGAGTGAAATATTAAAGCGCATTAAAGGCCGCGATTATGGTGACTTATCGACGGTAGATTTATTATTCGTACGGAAAAGAAAATTATATCGGTTGCAAAGTTGGCTCGTGCACAAACTTGTTTGTCCGGAGGTCTGGAAGAATCAATCGTTGAGCAACGGCAAATTATGATTAAGGCTCTTGGGTACTCGCATCGTTCATTTGTTTTCCAATGAATTATCTTTTTCTTTTAAAGCTGTTGAGTATTCGCATCGTCTTGAATACTGGTATCTCTTTTTAATGACGTCAGGAGCGAGGAAACGCATGCTAAAAATTTTTGCGAAATAAAACGTCGAGATAAAAAGATATATCCACAAAATGGCACTTGCAATCAATTAAGTACACCTCTAAAATATTCCGAATACTTCATCGGAAAACAATTCACGAAGAATGCGGCAACAACGCGAGAGCCAACTCAAACATTTTACATTGTAAAAGTCTAAAATCTATATACATCTAAAATTTATATATATATATAATAGAATGTCTGTAAGTTTCCTATTAACTTCTAAACCCTTTAACTAATCTGAGCCTAATTTTACATAATTACTCTCTAGAACTTTGCGAAAAAGATAGGCTACCATGAAGTTTGAATATTCCACCTCTTTCCCCTGATTTCATCCTTGATTTCCCCTTGATGAAATATTTTATGATAACGGGCAACGTCAAGTAATTTAAGTTAGTATAAGATAATTCAGCTTAACTATTTATTTAATCTGTGAGATAAAAGTAAATACAATCACAGACATCTTCATTTCCGTTTGCATGTCTCTATCGATCGTATATCGTTGAAGTACTTTACGAAAGACACATGTACAATCCATTTTTAGAGTTCTGTCGCTGTTATTACCACGTTCATACGTCACGTCCATACGTCTCGCGTTATTGCGAGCTCGATGATGCCGGCAACACATTTCGTGTATCGGACAAGCCACGTCCTTCGAAATGTTCACGCGCTGACGTAAGCCTCGCGAATCCAATCACGAAAGTGACCGATGTGGGTGAATCCAACGTACGAGTTGTAATCGCAACTGCTTCCCTTCGCCGGGCTCACGCTGACGATACCACGAAGATACCAAACGCCATTCTTTTCGAAACAAAGACCGCCACCGCTATCTCCCTCGCAAACACTGGAACCTGATTATGATGATTATGTGATTATTTTCGCACGAATAAAATAAACCGTTAGTGCAACTGCATTTTTAATCACTTTGGGAGTAGATGAAAAATTCGGTTGTGAGAACAAAAAGATTCCTATAGAAAACTTCTGCTCGACTAATTGATTTCGATTATTTCAATCTGAGACAAGTTTTAATGTATCTGCATCATTTAATGCATCATGACAAAGATATTATTTCTCGTCAGCCAATTTTTCGTCTGTCCGGATAACATGCATGTCTAAAAAATGTGGAAAATATATCTAAAAGACGTCTTATGCAACATTTTATTGCAGACTCGTCTTTTAGATATCTTTCCATCTTTTAGACATGCATGTTATCTGGGTGGTTTCCATTCAGTTACCTAAACTGAAGTTTATTTCCGTGCTTAGTGTTTATATAAACAAAACACTAAGAATATGTACACATACATAAGAGGAATAGACCACACTTGGCCGGGTCGGGGGAATGCTTTCTCTTCCACACGCTATTCTCCTTTAATCGTGATCATTTGGTTGAGCGTCAATGAAAAGAAAGCTCGAACCATATTAATATTTTTTCTTCTGTGTTTACAAAACGCGTGCCTAAGCAAACGCCTAAGTTGCCATACTCGCAGCACGGAACCAAACAATGCGTCCTTTTATTTCGCGCTTTATAAACACAGAAAAAAAACATGAATATGATTCGAGCTTTCCTTTCATTGACGCCTAATTGCCTGATGACGACTATAGAGGTATGGCGCGTGGGAGGGCGCGTTCCACCTAACTCCAAAAATTGCATTTCAGACTATGTGTTCCCCGGATTTACACATGTCTTTTTTTTCAATTTACCACAACGCCTTGCAATCACACATGCCATCAGAGATAATATCTGTCTGCTTATTACCTCATTACCTCGTTATTCAACTAATCTTCAGTGCACATACAATCATCTCACGAAAGTTTAAACGTGACATAACAAACACAAGCGGATCTCGCGCAATTATTTGCGCACACAGGCACTCACCGTTCAAGCGGCCGGCGCAGAACTTATCGGACGTGATGAATCCACGGAAATCCATAGGTACCGCGGACAAACACTGATGGTACGGCACGTACGGCATGTCAATTTCGTACAGAGTCTGGGTGGATTCACCTTTGATGTTTTTACCCCAGCCGGCCACCTGAAATCACGAAGTGAACCCACGATCGTTTTATCCTCTCTTTACATTTGATTTCCGCCCTCCTCTCTTCGAACACGCGCCGAGACCTCCGTCGTATACGCCGGGCACTAAAAATGAGGCAACCCGTTCGTTTGGATATAAATTCACCTCTGTGATTCGCGTACGCGGGTGTGCAAATCTACGACACGAACGCGGGTATGTAAATCTACGACACGAACGATTAATTAATACGGACAATGTAACGACGCGCGTCGATGTGCGTGTGACTGAAACTTAATTCAAAACCGTGTCGTTATGATGTATTTAACAACTATTAGCTTCTTGAACGCGCTCTACTCGCATTCGGCTGCAAACGCCCTCGCGTTAATTAAGCAAAACGATCGGTCAGCTCTCCGGCGATTGATACTCGCTAGCGTGTTACCTTGCCGGATTGTCCTTCTTGCAGCTGCTCCCTCTCGTACACGTTATCCCAATCCATGCAGATGGGTCGCACCAGCGCGGTCAACTCGAAGGGCTTCTTCAGCTTTACCAGAGCTATGTCCTCGGCGAAGTTACCCCTGAACCCCAAGTATCTGCCGCCCAATTTGATGTCTTCCACCGGCGACTTCTGACAATACTGCTCGTCGGTGTCCCAATCGCGATAATGCTTTCCGCCAGCCACAGAGTAATTCGACACGTCGTTAAGTTTATTTGAGCCCTCATCGTAGAAACAGTGAGCCGCTACACACACAGGAAGGAAAAAAAGTGAGCAAGTGCAAGCGACGAGAAGAGAATACATTCGAAACAAAGATATATAAGATTCGTGACATATACAATATAGAAACAAAGGAAAAGACGGAAAGAAAAGGAAGAAAAAGAAGGTTCAGACGAGTAAAAGCAGAACGCTGCTGGGCTGTGTTCAAAAATCCAAACCTGAACTACAAGATTAGCCTACAGTTGTTCAGAAATCCAACTCTGGGTTACAAGACTAACCCATAGTCGTTCAGAAATTAACTCGAGTAAGGTAACTTAGTTGTGTTCAGAAATAGTGAAGTTTATAAAGGTTTTTATTTTTAATCACATTATTTTATCACATTAAAAAGTGGAAAAATAAGCAGCAGTATCATTATTGCGCACTTTATTCAATGATAAAGTTATATGTTGTACTTCGGTTTAGTTACATCAATATTACTTTGTTTTAAACGAGACTTTACATCTTAAATTTGTTGTATCAAAGCTAAAGCAACATTGAAAATGCTTTAATGATTGACTTTACTCGATGCGTTCAGAAAGTCGTTTAGCTAAGTGTTGGATTAGGTTAGGTCAGGTTATTAACATAATCTTGACTAACCATACTTTATTCAATTCAACCCAACAGGTTGTATTTTTGAACGCACTCTGGTGTAGCGAGTTTAAATAAGTAAGGACTTGAAGTCAAATGTACATGTCGGAAAAATAAATTCGCCTGTGCGATAACTCACCTGATATGACGAGACTGTCACTAACGAGAGAACCGGCGCATATTTGCTCGTACACTTTGTCGCGTTTCTTCCTGTAGATACCGACATGCCAAGGAAACGTTCCCACTTTGGCCTCGAATCCATTCACAATTAGAGTGTTGCCATTCGCGATGGATGTGCCGCATTCTAATTGACCAGAACGCCGTTGGTAATTCCGTAACAAACGGCAGGGATGGCGATGACGCGAGCCATCGTATCATAAATCACACGCCGGAAAAGTCTCGGGAACATAATCGGGTATATACGTCTGATTACTTGCCAAAAGAAAGGGGAGAATTCCAGAGTCAGCTATGCCGCGAGAAAAAACGGACGAGTGTAACGGGGGTGAGAGTTATTAATAAGTGGCAGTGCGCCACGCGCGTACACGAGAAACGTTCAATTTGTCGAGACTTTTCCGTTCTCGCCTCACATCGGAAGCATGGGAAATGACAAATAACGTTCACCTGGTAGACAGCGAAAAATGCGACGATCCCATAAACCATCGTCGAGACACGTGATCTCCCTGTAAGCTGGATCGTTCGTTAAAGGTAATTTATAAGATGATTTACAGGACAGCCTGGCTCGTGTACCAGGCAGTATACGCTCGCTACAGGACACCGCTTCTCCTTGATAGCTGCAGGAAATGTCTACGCTGGTGCTGCTCAGCGCCGGGCAGATTTCTGCGGAGATAAACATCGGACGAGGTGGGCGATAAATTTTACCATCCGACGTCTGAATAAGAAGAGACGCGACGCTTCCATATAAAAACATTAATTTTAGTAATTGTGCGATAATACTTCCTTATTAATCAACTCTTGTAACCGGAGAAATTACACAGCCGGTCGTTTCCGAAAGTTATAGCAATTGTCAAGAGTGACTCACTGACACACGCGGGCGGCTTGTACCACTCGTTGTTCACGCAAACGGAAATGGTGTTTCCTCTCAGCACATAATTGTTTTTACAGCTGTAAGTGAGAATGCTGTTTTTCGGAGCTATGTCGCCGGGACGTTTATTACATGGACTGCTGCATTCTCCCAACTCATAATGTCCGCCTGCCGGCTTTTCAGGTAAGACGCAGCCGTTCTCTTGATTTCTGACTCTACAATTCCACGAATGTATGCAAAAAAAATTGCCGTTTTGAAAGAATCTAGTATTCAACAGGAAATAAATGAATAAAGAAATCTATTAAGTGAAGGACAAAGTCCGAACGATGCTTGGATGATTAGTAGATTTGTATGAACGTCAATCATCGCGAATAAATTGATACATCACAATCATGATTGCAATTGATTATCATGTGCATAAATTGTAAAGATATATTTAACTTACGCAATACAAAATGCCTCGTCGCTTGCATCGCGACAATCAACTTTATTATTGCATTTGACACTATACGGCAGACACTCGCTGCTTCCACAGCGAAACTCGTCATCCCTGTTTGAACATGATTGTTATCGAATATATTTAATCCCCTCCATTGGCATTAGTAAGACGGGTTTCCCCGCCGCATTTTACTGAATAGAAAACATACTTTGTTGACAAAAAGTGATTAAGCGTACCTGCATTTTTGATGATTTTGTGGTTTTTCGTTTTGAGCCGGCACGCGATTACCTGGATCGTAACGATCTGTATTCTCATTTATAGGAGCAGTTTGGTAAGAGAATCTTTCGTTACTTGTATGTGGATACATTCCATTTTCGGTCAACCTTTCTGTGTTCCCATTGTTTCCATTGTTCGAAAAAAGGTTACTATTCGATTCTATAGGATTTTTGTTTGATAATTCAAGAGTTCCTTTATCACTTGGCGGTTCTCTTTCATTTCCATGACCCACCATTTCATTATAAGTCGCTGCTCCGGAAAAATCATTGCGCTTATTCCATTTAGGAAAGTTCACCACCGAGGCCACAGTCACGGAAGGCACAGACAAGGAGCCCGAAAGCAAGGAGGGCAAATTCACAGATGCTGAGTATTGATTAGAGAGCAGACTACCGCCGAGCCATAAACTAGTGTCATCTTGTATGGACGCTGAAAATGTACAATTTTTCAGTGAATATTATCGATGAATTCTTAGAAAACGTATTACACACAAACACGCGCGCGCACACACACACATACCGCTCAAAAGTTTTGAGTATCTTTTAATTTTCATTATATGTTCAATAAACGATAATTATATCGGTAGATATAATGTAATTTCGTCATGGAATTTTACTTCAAAATTCATTATGAAGGAATGCTCCAAAATTTTAAACGGTAGTACACATGAATAAAGAGAACTTTAAAGCCACTTATTTAATGAAGAACTTTAATGAATTGTGTGCAAAAAATAAAAAGCAAAATATTTGAATAAAATGTTAATCCTTTTTTAGTAAAAAAGAACAGAGTTTGATCCTAAAAGTTGATCATATTCTATCTTAACTATATTTATAGATAGAATCATATTTATAGATAGAAAGAGATATGCGTAGAACATAGCACAAATTTTACAAAAATTCAAAGCTGGTTTCGCGTATAATACATCGTGTCTGTGTGATTTATTCGACTCTTCTTGGCGATAAAAACTTTATAATCTTTTGAGGAATTTCGTAGACGTTGGCTTATAAATATTCAATCACCGTGCGACAACCGGATACTATGCTCGTAATTTCTCGCGCGTCTCCATCTATTTTAATTTTAAATGCAAATAAATAAGGTCACAGTAGAGCCAACGTGAGAGACGTTAATTCAACGTATCGGAACATATATTATACAGTTATACGGAAAATTATTCGGCACATCACTATCCATATCACTGCCTAACCGACGACACGATCGATTGCTCATGGCACCAAATCACGACGTGACTCTTGAATCCGTAATTAAATCGTATCATCGCGCAAAGTCGCGAACTTTTGCAGTTTACCGACCATTCTTCGCACGGAACTTCGCGACCGTTCTGTCAGGAACAACGGCGCAGCAGCGTGGAATGAGAAGCATTATGTAAGCTACTCACGCGATGGCAGCAAAACCAGCAACGACAGAAGTATCGACATTACAGCGCGCGCGTTCATAACTGAAGGCGCATGGCGATCGCTACTCTCCCAGCCAGCGAGAAACTGACCACGGGTTCCACACCGAAGCCTCAATCGACACTTTTGCGTGGAAGGTCACACGGAATATAACGATGAACCACTACAGATTAATTCACCAACGATGATGACGATTGGTGTCGACGCCGGAGAAAGGACTTGAGAGGACCACAGCATTGGATTGATGATAACCGCGCTCGTAGAAAGACTCACGTGGACCAATATCGAAATAGAACTTAAACATTACGAGTACTTGTAATGGAAAAATGATCGTCAAGTAATTTTGCGCACGAAAAAGATTCCGACATCTTAAAGCTCCTAACTTTTCGCCTCGGAACTCTCGATTGATAAGTTGCGTGAAGTCACCCTCCTCCTCCCATCACAGTAAATTATCATTTAACAATGATTCGTTTAGTGATTGTTTGGTACCGTTTAGTAGTCTATTTCCAACGTTTAGTAGTCAAAACTGCTATAGATATCACGAAAAATAAAATATACATGTGAGGTTGGCCTTCCTAAGTTGGATAACGACTTTCAAGACATTGTATATAATTCTAACTATTACTATTCGTTTGGTGGTCATCTTTCAACGTTTGGTAGTCCATTTCCGACGTTTGATAATCGAAAATATAGTTAAGGAAAATATAATATCCAACTGCGAAGTTGGTCCCCCTTAAACTACAAAATCACTTTCCATGCATCGTACGTAATTCTAATTGTTACTATTCGTTTGGTTGCCTAGTTTACTAGTTCATTCCCGATATTTTATAATCGAAAATGTAATTGTTATTAAGCCATTAATTATTAATCATTAAGTAATTAATCAATTGAGAGCCGATCGCGAATGTCAGTACGACTATTTAAATCACGGGAGAATATTGTTGCATTAACAATCATGATCGGCTTCCAGTTAATCATGTTTTCTTCTATTTTGATTGTATACTAAGAAAGCATGCTTATATAATTTGTTGGAGATAGATGATCGATGGAGCCGCAGTTTTGTATTTCTCACAGTTTTATGGCAATATTTCCGGGAAAGCCGATATCGCGCGACTACACTTGGATTTTATTCTCCTTCGTATCTATTATAGCTCGTCATACAGCAAGCATATGCTCGTTACCACCGAAAGTTAGCAACTTTCGCGTATCGCATAACCAAGCGATAAGAGCAAGTCGATAAATTCAGGTAACTCGGCTAAAGCAATAATCACGAAAATGAACGTTTTACTTCAGAAACATGGGGCTAAACATACATTCAAAGTCCCGGAAGGATTACGCGAGCTATGTACCGACATTGCACGCGAGGTTTGCTCTATGAAATTGTTATTTGGCTTTCCTTTTAGCGCCGTCACGTCAAAGGACGATTAAATTATTATCTGATCCTGTGAAAGGTTCTGCGCTCGCAACCGAGGAATATTTATTGCTTCATCGCTGATTATGTAGAAACGCTGTTGATCACGCGGGAAAATGCAAAAGGTACCACCGCATCGTTAGTAGTGATTTCTCTCTCTATCGTTATATCTCAATGTTGTTCTAAGAATTACGAACGTATATTAATTACGAAGTTAAGAGTCAATCACGATATTATCTATATACAGGGTGTCCCAGACTCCGCAATGTTTGTGGGAATATAAAACGGATTGAGGAGTGAACAGTCCTATACCGTTTAGCGATATTCGCAATAAATCTTGAAATATTAATTAAATATTAATTAAAGAAGATTGGTTAGGTTAGAAATGATCACGCGCGATGGTGGATGAGCTATAATGGCGCCGTCTGCCGTTGTATATTTATACACTAGATCAAAATGAACAAAAAAGTTCTCTAGCACTTTGCAAATAACCACATAGATTTTTAGATATTGATTAAAGAAGATTTGTGCATTATCGCGCACAATCATGTAACAATTTTTTTTCATTAATAACTAAAAATTTACGTGGTTATTTGCAAAATGATAAAAGGCTTTTTGTTTAATTTGATTTAATATACAAGCAGACAATAACACATATCGCCACTACAACTCGTCTACTATATGGCGTATGATCATTCGTCAATCTTGTTTAATTATTCAACTCAACTCGTTCTATTCCTACAAAAATTGCGGGGGAGAGTCTGGGACACTCTGTATACAATACACACATCTATTCGTCTAGTGTCTGATACTTTATATCTCGTTTTATAAATAATTATTTAAATCCGAAGATTGCAGAAAATTACTGCGCACGCATGATATTGCTCGTTCCGCGTGATAATCATAAACGAGTGAATCTTCGCACATCATAAATCATCTATTCCGTGTAATTTCGTGTAATTGCCTTCCAGTTGCGGTGAAAGTCATAAACAATATTTTACTGGGCAGCCAAGCTATCGTGGGTATACTTTATCGCGGCGGCTTGAGTTTGGAGCAGATCGCCCGCGCTGCGCCCAAGATTCAGGTATGAGGCAGCTTGCTATCGCGTGCTAGATATCTGGAGAGATCCGAAACACAGCGAAATAATATCTCAGGCACTCCTATTTGTTCGCCTCGCAGAAGGTATTCGGCGCTTACTTGGACGCGATAGACACGCGAGCGGCCCAGGCGTGCGACGGTAATTACACGGTGAATTATGTAGAAAAACAATTCCATGGCAGATAAACTCGTCCGCGTCGTGCGAATGGACTGCAAATTTTTCTCTTTCGGCCGCAGACGCGCCCTGTGCTTGCGAGGTAGAGTCCAAAGTGTCCCTGCAAAGTATCCTGCTGGCGACTGGAGTTTCGCTGGAACAGGCAGAGCGAGCCGCCACGATAATACAGGTACGCCGTCGTTATGTACACAAGGCCCGATGGTCTCCTTAATCGATCTTTAGCGGCTCTTTAAGGCGCTCTCATTGTCGTCGATCAGATCGCTTTCCGCGGACATTACGAGAGGATGTTGCTGAACGAGTCCCAGGGCGTGATTCAGTGGCAACGAGCGGCAACGAGGACCCTCGAGATCCTCAGGAGGGCCGGGGCTTCGCAGGCGGAGGCTTCGAACGCGGCCGTTTTAATACAGGTGTAATATCGCTCGTGATTAAGTGTCTGTTAACATTACATTAAGATAGTCCCTAGTCTCGCCTGGCCTCTCTTGCCGCGGCCATCTTGATTGATGATGTCAGAACAGAGGCAATGCATGCCCTGCAGAGCATATGTTTAGAGAGTATACGTTTGGAAAAAGCATTTGGATTAGCCAAGTTTCTGATAAAATATAAACAAACCAGAAAACTTCTGTTTAAAGTTGCTAAAATTCTATTCAAGTTAACCAGAAATTTTGTTAACTTAAATAGCAGAATTCTAGTAATTTCGACTGGAACTTCCAATTCGTTCATATTTTATTAGAAATTTAATTAATCCGAACTTAACTTCTCTTCAAATCTTAATTTTTTTTCCGTATACGTCAAAATATAAAGATATATCCAAAAAATGACATTTGCAATCGATTAAACACACCTCTAAAATACTTCGAGCACTTTCCTTCTGCTTTAACAGTCAAGAAATAACTGTAAAATTAATATGCGATCTTCCTTTTTGCATTCTCTCATTATCCGATCATATTTTTCTTACGATATTTACTTGTATTGACTGTTAGAGCAAAAGAAAAGTATTCGAAGTATCTTAGAGTTGTGCTTAATTGATTATAAGTATATCTTTTTATTTCGACATAGGACATTGCAGGAATTTTAGGCATGCATTTTCTTGGTTCTAATCAAGATGGTTGTGGCGAGTATGCAGTTATGCGATCCTCTAACCTCGTAACGATAATGATAATATCGTTGCACAAATATAACACATGGTAGAAAAGCTGTATAACGACACATCATGCTAGTGACATTGTCCTTAGGAAGTTACAGAATAGGTTTACAGGAAGCTTAACATTTATTATCTGTTAATCATCACAAGTTTTGTGCAGGCTACTTATCGTGGATACTACACGAGGAGAAATCTAAAAATGAAAACGAGTAAGATCACCATTAAAGCTTGTTTTCACGTTTCTTGTGTATGTACAATAAAACAAATTATTCTCTCGGCTATCTACAGTGACTACGATGCTGCAAGAGGAAAAAGAAAGCGAAGTAGACACGATAGAGTCCACGAGAACCATTCAATCCGTGGCATGGTTAGATATGATGTACGAGGAATCGGGATTGACGTTGATGAGAGCCAATGAAGCTGCTACGGTCATACAAGTAAATAACTCATAATTAACGAGTAATTACTCGTTCAATTGAAACGGCAGTGATGCATCGTGTCGATGTTCGCACACTCTCTACAGAGAGCTTATAAGCGATATCGCACGAGGAAAAATAAGCATAACGTGTCACGGCTGGAATCGACCAAGCCGATGGTGGTGGAAGCCATTGTCAAAAATCTGCACCAGAGAGTTCTTGACGGAGTCGTATCTTGCGCCAACATTCCCGCGGAATTTGGTAGTCGAGAAGAATTGGCGGAAGCGGGCGAAGAACTTCAACGAGCGTTCAGGAATCGATTGGCACGTGCTTGCATAACGGAGGAAAACGGTGATTACTTTTCTGTCACACTCACGAGATGATATTCGCTCTATAAAACAACATTCGGTCCCTCTGGAATTGCATTTTTGAACGTTTACCGCGCCTATTAATTTATGCCGATTCCCTTGCATTATACGTGTCCGGATATGTAAACAGGATACGACGAGGAGGAGTTCACTCGGCCGGAAAAACTCGACGAATCGCTCTCGAAACTGGTGAACGACACCGCGGTGGGAGATCAGGAAGAAGGTCGAGAAATCGAAGTAGCTACGGGACGTGACGGAAAAACAGATGCGGGCTCGGCATAAGGGGGAGCCGAAGACCAAGGGGTGACAGTGGCGCGCGGCGGTAGAATCCTTTTCTGAGTGCGTCGGATGAACCAATTAACATGGAAGCTGCTGCGGGATGGGAAAAGAAGCGGGACGGCAACGAGTGCTCGGCGCACAAAGAACGTAGCTGGAGCAAAAAGCGCCGCCTCTAGAGGCCACCGAATGCCGGAGACACCGCAGCACTTTAATGCACATGCTTACGTTCGATAATTCCGTTAACGTGATGCGCTTTCGCAGCGAGCTTAAAATTCCCCCGGACGAAACGGTCCCGGCACGCGCGTGCGACTGTAACGAGCTAAACTATTTCGCCTACGTGTAACGTTAATTTAATTCGGCCGATGCAAGCTAAACCGTTCCGGGGCGAGTCGTCCAAATTTGATTTGCATAATTTTTATTCTCGACAGTTAACGCTTTAATATCCCATTACATTATTTCGCGTTAGTACGCGCCCGGTGGGCACACTTTCCCGTGAAAAGAGAATTTTTCCAGCGCTTGATATCGCGCGTTAAAGCATATTGTGCATGAAGTTTCTTCACTCTAATATAAAGTATCAGCCGAATCAAAATAAATTCCAATTAATTTTTAATCCTTTTTCTCCTTTTCCTTCTTTCTTCCGTTCGGGGATACGCTGATGTTGTGCGCACATGAACATTTATCTCTGAAAATAACTACAAAAAGGGAAAATTGTAAAAAAAACCGTCTAAGAAACAAGCTCGAAGTCAGAATGTACGTCTACAAGACGCTCGCATTGAGCAGCACTGAGAGGAGGTGGCTGGGTCGCTCAAAGGAGTCTTCAATCGCTCGTATTCAATCTCTGACGGTACGTGTCGACGTCCACGATTACACGTATTCGCAATCGCGGTCCCGCAGCTCTCGCAATGTGCTCGGCAAACGTGTTTCACGCTCGATTCCTCGTGTGGGGCCACATTCGCGCTCTCCAGTAACTCCGGCTGATCGATGATTTCCGAAGTCAACGATTTGTTACACTCGTCCTTGCCCGTCCTGTCGGCCGATCGAGTTGCTTGATCCTCGCACCTTCCAGCGCGGCACCTCCTGCTGGCTTTATATTTCTCAGCAAGGATGCACATGGAGTCCTTGTGATTGATAACGGCCACCTCGTCGTCGTCTTCCTCGTCCTCATCGCCCACGTCCTCGTTCTCGCGCTCTTCGTTCTTGCGCTCGCGAGCGACGGATATTGTGTCGGAGTCTTTCGAGTGGCAATGCCGCGCGTACAATCGACTACTCTCGTCCCGCATTGGGTCGCGCCAGCTTTTGTGCCGTGCTCGTCCGTCGCAGATGTACCCGTGCGTCTCACATCTGCAATACAAATGACATGAAAAGCGTGAATTAAATAGAACTTGCAGCGCTGGTGCTGCAATTTTTATTTCCTCCTCGGCAACGTATGCTTCTCATCATATGTAGGAGAAATCAGATTTAGATTTCAGCTCCGTATTTAAAAATTTCGAAGTTACAACTTCTCAGACGACTAAACAGTCAGACAACAGATTGACCAATATGACAGATATATTAATCAGTATCTTAATATCGTAAGAAAATGTCTCATTAACCTTTCTGCGTTCATGGACAAGTCGTGTCGCTGACAGCAACAGTGCCGATGAAAACAGTCGCCACAGCGATGACGACGATGACTGCACCCGTCGCAGTGACGACCGTACGATGATCCCAAAAGGTCAAACGTGGGCTCCTCGCACGGATAAGACTCTTCGTGCTGACATCGCCAAGCCGAATCTGTGTTCCTCTGTTGAGGAACAGATGTCGAAGCATCCAGTTTTGTCCACGCGTCCTCGACACTTGAAGTATGACTCCGAACTCCATCGCCGGTAACGACATCCTCCGCAACGCCGTCGTCGAAATCGATGAACGTTCCGTGACAGCTCGACGACATCGAGTCCTTGCCCTTGTCCCCCGAAGAGTCGCCGCACGCGACCCTGTCGTTCTCCTCGCGGGTCGCGTCGCATATTAGACTCGCAGTAGCCAAGCTCGAGCACAGCCTCGACGAGCAACGGGCTTCACGGTGATGGTAGAACGTTGAACTGCGTCCCGATTGCGAGATCCATTCCATCGTGGCAGCCGCCTCGTCGTTCGTTGTTCTCGACGCTGCGTCGCACCTGTGAACGAGAACAGGGATAAGTTTACTGAAGATGCAGTTCAACGTAGTTTTGCGCTTTCTCGTGTTACTAGTACTCTCAAAGATGAGAGTGCATTCGACTACATTTCTGAATTTTTCTCTTTTTCTTTAGAACGACACGGAGTGTCTTTGAAAGTGACACGCGCAAAAGTAACAACATTGCAACCGGTTGCCACATCCTCGGAGTATATTTTGAGATGCAGTTTTCATAGAGCGCACAAATATTGCCAACAACGAGTACAAACGCCGCCAGTTTTCTTGTAGAACTAACCGGGAAAAACTCACGTGCGCGTGGCCTCGACATCGTAAATAAACAAATAAACACCGCGAAACGAGGAGGTCGCGGACTCAAAAGCAAACCTATCCCTCTCGGCCGGTCTTGCAAATTCATTTTTATCCGCAGCTGACGTCGCCGGCACCTCCTCGCGCTCTCTGCTCGGCACGGTATCGATTGCATCTCCGCCGCTGCACTCGTCGCGCTGCGCCGAGGTGTCCTTGCCGTTTCTTCCGTTCCGGCAGCAACTGCAGCTGATCGAATTCTCGGTGTAGAGATTATCATAATCGCGGCCGCGTACACTTGCCGGACAGGCGTGATCGGATCTTGAGCTACATGCGCGTTTCACTAGCAAGGAGCTCGATCTCGCTTGATTAATGGGCTCTTCGCGGCTCGTCGCGGTTTCCGCCTGGAAAGGCGCACATCCGTCAGAAGCGCATTGATAAATCGCTCTCGATATCAGTCGACGTCGCGACGCGAAATCACGTGAGAATCTAGTTTATGATCCAAGTGGAAGTGATTATGAAGAAAAGCTTCAAACAGCAAACCCAAATGTGCACCCCGTTACTTCATTATCTTCATTACGTGATCGTGTCTTTGCTTAAAACGAAAAGGAAAAAAAGCTTAGGGACAGGTAACCTTTACGCTTTCAGAGACACGTTCAGTTGAGCTCTCGAGACCGAAGTCCTTGGGAAATTTGCGACGAGCACGTCGAAATGCAATCGCCGCTGCAACAAGCTGATGAGACGACGACGGACAAAGCGACATCACTGAAAAGCGATTATGGTCGCTATGAGCATCTCTCTGATGTGGTAACCGGTTCAGGAGGTAGCTCTGATTACGATAATCGATTCCGGAAATTCGAATAGTCAAGATACGTCTCCTGTCGTGTGCGTGTTCAATAGTGCGTGAGATATATCTCACGTAGAGCAGCACTGTCGATCAATATTGCGATTGACGCGTATAATTTGTTAATTAAGAGGATACCAAAGTGGAAGATGAGCACCGATATCTAGATTAAAAATGTCAACGACGTTATTTATTACTGCGTTTATCTATTACTGCGACTTTATCGATTTTGTATATATAGATATTGTATATATAGATATTTACAGAGCAAAGACGATTATATTAAAATATTATATTAAATAAGCGTTGATAAGATCATCTTCATATACATTCATTTTCTACATCATAGATCATACATAAATGTGAGCACAATATTGACGATAAAAATTCGTATTCTGTTCAAAATATGTGTGTTGTGTGTGTGTGTGTGTGTGCTTTTGATGCTTTTTGATAAAATTTTAATCCGTTCGTCCACACTCAGACAGCACAAAATCTTCAAGAGATGACCTGGGGCCTGGGGCCGTTTTCAAGACGTAAGGACGTTCTCAGAACGTCTCTAGGATCTCCTGTGTTGTTTGGGTAGAGTGAATCATTATGAAGAAGTTTTGTGAAAAGATTTATATGCAAAAGATGCATGATTTCTCGAGTAGAACGTTGCATAATACATGTGCATTTTTCTATAGGTGGAAGAATTTATGAGATTGGAAGATCAACTAAATTTTTTTATGATAATTTTATGATTTTTTTTAACATGAATCATTATTCCTTTCAGATTATTCTGCATATAAAATTAATGAAGTGAGATGTTTAAAAAGAAAACGTGTGTAAAGTTAGCTCTGCATTTTAAGAATCTGAAAAAAAGTAATTAAAATTCTAATTATTCTCCGGAGAGTTCTAGAGTCAATCAGTTTTAAAAATAATTCTCTCTGGCGTTTTAAGCTGCCAAAAGCCACTTGAAAGAAACATTTTGTTGCATTAGATGTCTTTTAGATATCTTTTCGACATCTTTTATATATGCATGTTATCTGGGAAGGAAGAAGCAACTTTATGAAATTCTCTACTAAAATTAACCTGAATTTTTTTGTTTCTTCTTGTATCATTTCGAGTCATAAGAATAATCGACAAAATTCTTTAGGGAGGCTACCAGAAAGCCCAGTGCAATCTTAACAAGAAAAAATTCGGATGCATGAAAAAAACTTTAAACGCAAGTAGTTCTTTTACTATCAGAATAAACGATCATCGTGCAAACTGTATTAATGTTGTGCTACGTGGGGCGAGTAAACGAGTAGGCCCCAGCGTAAACGAGATAGGTGAAATTCTAACATGTTATTTAATATAAGCTAAGTAGATTTAAGAGATTATTAAACCCATTATTTCTACGTATATTACAAATTAGTTCCAAAGCCCCCGCTACGAGTCGCCACATTCTTGAGCGAGAAATTGAGTCATGTACGACTAAACAATAAGTCGGACGCACCTTCATTTCATCAAGTAGTATTACTCAACGGTGGGTTTGACGGTAGTATTACTCAATGGTTCCTTTTATATTATTATCATAAAAAATAAACATAACGTTCTTAGAAGAGTTGATAAATATAGAAGTTTTTACCGTTTTCGTTTAATAACATAAATACCAAATTATACGAGAAATATTTAAGTGATTTTATTTTTAAATTTGTTCAATAAATTTTGTCAGTTTTTTATCTATAACAAATGTTTTACATATAGTATATTCTCAATATTGTAATATATATTACAAAACGTAGCAAAAAAGCCTTTGAATAGTATAAAAATTACGGCATTGTTGACAAATTTTAGGATTATATGTTACCAATTATTTCTTTTTAAATTTAGCGAAAACTCGGCTTGACTACATACCTTTTAGAATATAGCAATCCTAATATGTGCAAGCAATTTGAAGCAATTTTATTTTTTTATATAAATATCTTTTTTTTTAATAATGCACAAGATTTTTTGGTACACGTTTTCTCGCTTCTGACGTCGTCAATCCAGGTTTTCAAGCAGTAGGACCAGGAACCTTGACAGCGACGCTTTAACGCGTGCACAAGAAGTGACGAAGATTTTTCTACGAGAATCCATCCTTCGGATCTTTCACTCTGAAAGAAGAAGTCTGAAGGAAGAATTCACTGCGGTGACGACTATACAGCGCGCCGCTCTGTTCGGCAAATTAAACTTTCCCCGAAGTATCGGCAACGCGGTTGCGGAACTCGACGAGCAGTTTTCTGACGTAACGGCTAACAGACCGCCGGATCCGGATAACGAGCGAGTTCTGCGGGCCGGCGGCGGCTTTATCGAATTTGTATCGAGCGGAATTTCGTCCCCTGCGCCGCCCTCTCCCATCTGCAATACGGACGCCTTGGTCAGGATTTGATCGCCGCCGCTGCTCTCCTACCCTTCCTCCTATCGCCGACCCGGCGGCGTTTAACGGGGCTAATTGCGACGATTGCTCGCTGCAAATGGAAACGGTGCGGTTTTACCGCTGTTTGCCAGTTCGCATCGAGCCGAGAAACGACCGGTGTGTTACACGCAAGAGTGATGAGACGCAAAGGTCGCCGATATAAACTACTACATATTGGCAATAACGATTTATTGGCTCTTGCATAAAAAAATCGCATACATGCGTTATATGTGTTGTTATGTACCTAACTATAAATGGAGAGAGAAAGTTGTTGCGATCATTCGCGCGCCGGGAGATAGAGATCCAACGCGATTATCATACGTGTATGTGTGTGTGTACAAAACAAGTGATCATCGTATGCGTAATAATGAAAGCAAGAGTAATAACGTAGTTATCTTTTCCACTAGAAAGATATGCATCTACTATACAAGTATTATACGCTCGCAAGGCGTATGAAGATAAACTCCGCAATCGATAAGTAACTATATATCGTCAATATCATTTTTGTCATAATGCAATCATGCGTTTCACATGTTTCATCTCTTGTGATAAGTAAAATTCAAAAATTGTACAGTATAAATAATTTTCAACATTTACATATTTTTACATGTTTAATAACGTCATCGGAACAAATCACTAAATTATGTAGCAGTTACTATGTAATATTGTACAGGGTTACTTAATCGTCATATATATATTAAATTATTCATCATAACACTATCACGAGGAACAATCGAGTGTAAATAACGTGAGGCAGTAAACGCGAAATAGATTCGATCTCGCCTTTTTATATCAGATCCCCTCATAACTTACTAATATTGTTCTGCCATTCGCATTGAACGACACCGCACTCGGTAAGTCATCGCATCAGTCATCGTCCAGGTACTAGAGCAGGAAACACCGGCTGCGGCTTGACTTTCAATTCATCCACGGTGGACAGGATGTCGGTGGCTGATATGTCTGAGAGATTGGCACCTGATAATGCTGCACCGCTTGAGAGGGATGCTGCGACCGCTGCTGGTGATGCGGCGGCGGCGGTGGTGGAGGATTACAAATCGACTGCATCAACGGATGCGCATTGTAAGGCGGCGGTTTCGACGTATATGGTGGCATTTGATTGTACTCGACGTTTAGTGGCTGTTCCAACATGCTGTTCTGAGTAGGAGACCGATTACCGTCAGCGGGGCCTAAAGACAGCATCGCGTTCTTCAAGTAGTACATCTAATCGCGCATATAGAAAGATTAGGATAATATCGGATCTATCATTTGTCATATACGACAGAGGAATGGTTAATGTAACTGTGAGGAATCGGTTAATCGTAGCAGGAAGTATAATTTGCAAGCACTTCAAATTCGATGCATCAATGCAAGTAAAAATTACACAGCTGACGCGCGATAATGAATCAAACACTTACCTCTTGGCCTAATTTGAGGAGGTGGCATATTAATAGGAGGTAATCCAGGACCGACTGCGGGATGTTCCCCTTCCCTCGGAATTGGCGGTGGTCTACCCCAAGGAACCCTCACGTGATGATTCTGCCAAGGTGCCTGTGGTGAAGGTGGAGGCGGCAAAGGAGGACCGTTTCCAGGATGAATATTCCCGGATTCTCCGATTGCACTCTGTTCATTTCCTATTTGTAAAATATGACCATATTACAATCGTGCGCGAAAAATCGAAGTTTTTTTTATTGATATACAGTATCCCATGTTTGACATACCTGATGCTAATCCTGCAGGCTTTTGCTCCAAGCTCCGTTTTTCACCTAAATGATGAAAACAAATGATATAAAGAGAAGGAAACGACGTATTCGCTTATGTAACTACATAGACGTAACGTAACGTTGGGATTTAACATGGCAAATTATGCGATGAAATATTGTAATGTAATAATAAACTTAAAAGGAAAACTCGCTGTTCAGCGGAACGTAATTAATCTCGATGTCGTCAATCGCAAGCATAAGATGGAAAAAAACAAATATTTTCTGAATTTAAATGCAGATCTAATTGCGAAACAATTCGTGTGTATCTATACTGTAAGAAGACCGCTCCCGGTCTTCATCTTCCACTCGGGGGGATACTGTAGCGATAAATGGAGAAATTTAGTTCTCTAAATTCGAGTCTAATCTTACAAAACTAAATTAGATATTAGGACAATATTTCACGCCATTAACCATTGTCAAACTAGCAGAGCGATTTAGTAATCGCTATTAGAGTCTGAAAGCAAGGAACGCAGTCTTCAACATTCTCGCGTTATATTAGATGGTTACCACTTTTTTTTATCAGTTCCATTAAGAATCTGAAGCCATACAGTTATTTGCTCTCTATCTGTAAAGTATAAACTTATAACATTAAAACTATATCTTTTTTAAAAAATCCTTTCCGTTACACAATTGTTCACACAGTTCCCACTACACAATTGTTCAGGCCACTGCAACAGCAAAAAACATTACTGATGATGTTACATAATACACAAGTATTAGTATTTCTTTTTGTGAATTCCGCATATCCCTAATACTATACTATCCGTATAACAGTAAACACATATATCTGCTCAAACACAACGGTCATCTCTGTTCCTTCTGGATGGCATAATCGGGCGTGGACGAAGTTTAGCCTAAAGAATACGCAAGTCCAAGATATATTTAACTTAAAACGGTAACATTAAAAATATGTATATAACGTATCTTAAAAAAGAATCCTAATAATAGTAAGCATGATTAATACTGGACAAACAAACACTGAAGTGGAAAATCACAGGTTACACTTGCATCTGAAAAATGCACATTTATATTTAATAAAAAAGACACTATAAAAAAAGAGAGAGCATTAAAATGAATATACTTTCAGACGCCTTCGCGACAGTATAACACGTGCAGTGCAGTTTTTATCTGGGGGGAGGGTCTATATATGTAAAATAATAATAATAAAGAAATTCAAAGATAACTGTCAAAGCATTTTCTATGCGGTGAGATTACAATAATCCTTGTTACTTTTCCGGATGTCCGTCTCTGCAGGTATCCTCAACAAATGCATAAAAAAGCGGTTTGCTAAGATGTAAATTAAAAAGTCAAGGAAAGTTTGTATTATAATTACCAAAAAAGATTATTTACAATAATAATATACTACAGTCTAAGAGTATTAAGAAAACAATGCTAGATACCTATCCGAAATATATCTTGCTCTTCAAGAGATTTGCGTCTACATGAACAACGTCATCGTGTATTACATAGTAAAAAATATGTTTGAATACCATGCCAACGTCAAAGTTGTATTCAGAAAGGAATCCAAGGTCTAGATTAAAAGGTTACGGTATCAAAAGTCCCTCGAGAATACAATCTTTTTGCTGGTGTAACGCATTTTTTACATTATTCTACTTCGCGTGTTTGATTTCCAAAAGGTATCCGGCACCTTTCCCGTGCTAAATACTCTTAGTTACAGACCTGGATGTGGAGGTGGCATTAGCATCTTGTTTCGATCTCCATGTGGTAGGCCCGCAGGTGTGGGTGATGGACCGTGTAAGACTTGCTGTTGTCGATCACCTTCTCTGCTTAAACAATGCAGGTGCGAATTATTAATTCCAAATTAAATATTTTATCTGAGAGACATTTCACAAGCACTAAGACAAAAATCACCTGATGCGCACCCTTGGATACTTCTGAAATATGGAAAATATCTGGCTTCATACCAGATCACACAGTTAATGACGTCGAGACTTACGTTAGTAAGTGTTCTTATGAACGTAATTGTAATGCTGTAGAACATTACAATATACGTTCAAATAATCTGTATAAATTATTTTAGCTGACGTTCCGTAAAAGTGTATTGTCGCGATACGCCTCTTTTCACTTATCACTTATGCTAAGAAAACATAAAATTAGTTAATTTTCTGGCGAAAAAAGTTGTACTTCGAGATTCCAACGATATGGAATCACGGATAACATGAGGAAAATGCAAGTTTATTATTATCTTTGCATTACATTTGCAAAGATAATAACATTGCTTTATATTAAAAAAAAAAAGTATCTCTATACAGCCATACACTTTATAGAATGCAATATTTTGCAAAAGAGCCAAATATGTGCATATACCTATGATTAAAAAATTGTCGAACGTTTACATGAGTAACACGAAAACTTCGCACAGTCTTAAGTTTCCATCGAATTAAACTATTTTCAAAGCCTGAAAATAATTTATCGATATGGATATATCTGGATCTTGCAGCCAATGATTCTTGTCCATAGTTATTGATTCTTATAAGATTTCTCAGGAATAGTAATAACACACATCTGTGAATATAAAACATCTATTATGTTCATGAAATATTCAAACGCTCTTTTTTCACTGGTTTCTCGGCTTTTATAATAAAATAATATTACTACAAAAGCAGAGTTCCTCCACTATTGTGGAAGTTAGTGTAATGTCTTGTTAGGTAACGCAAAAGCAGGTTTCTGTAAAAAAAAAAACAATTGGACACAACATTGGCTTACATTTTCTTCATGTAATTCTACAATCTTTTTTTTTTAATAAATTTGCATTTGCTATGAATGAAGCATAAGCGATTTGAAGCAGTTGTTCTTTTTTATCGACAGTTCTCTTCGTACCGACAGATTTTAATCCACGATTAAAATCATCATGTGTTTACGCTACAGTAGCCTATAATTCTGGAAATTATCAGTAGCTTTTTTAGTAGACACCTAGTTAGAATTTTACACTTGATACACCTGCTTTATTCAAGCAAGCACACAAGTTTCCCTCACTCATAATCTACCAAAGTATAGCTCCTCTAAACGCATAACGGCTATCGTAAAGTTACGTTAATTTATATGCTATAGCGTCTACAAGTTAAAATAACGGTATTTTCTTCGACTTACCCTGTGCCATGACGTTGTGCGGGCAGCGGTGCGCATTGGTATGGCGGTGGTTCCTGTGACGTGCATTCCAAAAAAGATTTAAATAAATATCATAAAATTCCATCGCATATTTTGGTTCGTTAAACGCATTCCTCACGAATGTTACTTTACCTGACCTCCCTCAACATCTGAAAACCTTCTTTTTACTCCATGCGACTTCTGCTGCTCTGGAGAATCGGGCTTCTGCTCGAATTGCTGATGCGGAGGCTGCATCGTATAATGTACTTGCGTCGGCACGTGACCGTTCTGATACTGTATGTGCTGAGGATGATATTGTATTTGAGCTTGAACTTGCGGTGGAGGTACGTTATGAAGAGGTATATTCTGCGGTGGTATTTGCATCTATAAATAGTTTTACGAAACACAAATATTGTATCTTCGCGGCAACTTACGAGAACAACGGTGCATCAAATATCAGTACAAACAATATGAAAATTCTATTTTGTCGCGCGCAATACCTGCAATTGCCCTTGCGGTTGCGGCATCTGTTGCGGTTGCTGTGCCTGATAAAGCCACGGTGCATTCTGCGGAGGTGGTGGTTGCGTCGGTGGTGGCACGCTGGTAAGAATGTTCATGGAATTTGGCATCTGACCAATCGACGGTGGCGGCACGATCTGCGGAGGCGGTACCGGTTGTGGCAACGGTCCTTGTTCCACAGGACCATCTTGTTGATGCTGCATCTCACCGCCAGGTGGAAGAGGAGGTTGCGGATGATGCTGCGGGGACTGAGCGTTGGGGACCAAAAAGGTTTGCGCGGATGGTGGAGGTACTTGTAAGTGGAACGGTGGAGCGTGACCCTCGAACTGCGGCGGCATTATATGCTGGGCGACAGCTTGAGACTGCTCGTGATTCTGTTGCAACTGAGGTGGAACGATATGCTCGCCAGGTTGAAGGACAAATTGCGTTTGCGACTGCGACGCGGGAGCCTGTACCTGCTGGTATTGTATCTGGTAGGTTTGCGGCACGGGAGGAGGCGGTTGATTCGGCGGGAAGTTCGGTGGCGGGAAGTGAAGATGCAACAACGGCGGCGGCGGTTGCTGCGTTATATTGAGCGGAGCCGTGGGAGGAGGAGGTTGTTGCAAATTAACATTGACAGTCTCGATGATGCCCTGCGACGGTGTGGCCGGCCTCTGTATGTTTGGCTGGGTATAAACGTACGACACCGCCCCGCTTGCTGGTGCACTGCTACTCGTTATGAAGCTCTGCTGCGCGGGACTTTGCGGTGGTGGTTGACTCATGACATACATTTGCGCCACAGGCTGCGGCGAAGACTGCGATCCCGGTTGAATCCCCTGGATTTGTAATGGCTGACCAGGATGTATCTGATATTGAACTTGACTTACTGTTGACGGAGGACCGATTAACTGCACTTGCCCGACCGGTGGTGGTGGCATGAATGTCTGTATTTCCTTCAATTAGAATGTTCATATATATCACGTCATTAATTCCCTCCAAACGATTTATGTAATGACAAAGTACTTAATTCAAGTTAATTACACACCTGAGCTTGGGGAGGTGGAACTAATGGTCCTGTGTGTGGTGGTATATATACTCCTGGGGGTGGAACTGATACGCCAGGCCCTGGAGTACCAGCTACAGTAGCAGTAAGAATTGTTGCGGGTAATGTTACAACATTACTTTGTGGATGTTGTATAATATCTGTCAAATAAATCTTACTTTTAACAAGAAATAAATCTTACTTTTATATCATATTTTTAATAGCTTTATTAGCCTTATACAGTATTCGTATAGATCAGAGCTCATAATTAGTTGTCTATCTCGGCCGATTCTCGGGAGCTACGCCTTCTATCTTCCTCTTGCCGCGAGCGGGCCACGAAAATGATCGCGGCCAGTCGCGGCTTCAAGTTTGGAGGCTCGACCGTCACTTTCGTGACTCGCTCGCGGCAAGGGAAAGATAGAAGGCATAGCTCCTGAGAATCGGCCGAAATGAGCAACTAATTCCAAACTCTGGTATAGACCATACCTTGATGCTGTATTGTGACTACATTCGGCTGGGCTAAAGTTCCAATGTTCATAGTCTGAAATTGGGCTGTGAATATAAAAAGAAAAATTGTTACATTATTTATACGAATAAACAGTTCTCCACGAATAAATACTACTTTGTATGTAAATTACATACTTTGTTGTATCTGTGATTGTTCTATGACTTGTTGAGGTTGTACTGGTGGTGGTTGTTGCTGGATATAAGTTTGTAATTCAGCTTGTATTGTTTGTATTAAATTTATAGCCAATTGTTTTGCATTTTGCAATGCCTCTGGCTTTGGATGTCTGAACAGAAACAACATTTTATCTACCAAATGACTTATTTGTTTAATCACTCATAGCTTAAAATTTTGGACATTCTTACTCTATATACAAGTGAAGTGGCTCTGGAGATTCCCCTCCCAAAACTGGATCAATAAATTGCGATCCTCTACCTCTTAAAGTTACATTTGCGCCAGTTTCGCCTCTAATATACATTAAATTTGTATCACCAACACCCAATATACGCCCCCGTAGATCAAAACCTTGTGGTGCATTTTCAATACCAACACAAATTTTTTCCTACAAATTTGTAGACACGTTACTAAATATTACTGTATAAAAGAATCTGCCGCAGTTGTAAGTAAAATACGGGACCAAAATATTACCACAGTTGTAACTCCGGAATGTAAACTCATAAGAGGTGGTGGAGCATTTGTAAACCTGCTTGGTCTATTTAAAGAACTCTGATGTTCTGTCTTGATAATTTCATTAATTTTCTGTATCGCCACTATTAAATAAAAGATTATTAATGCTATATCTTAACAATAAGATTAGAAGTAGTTATATAATACATACAATCAACATTGTGTTTTGTATGACCTTGTATATAAAGATACAATGGTCTTTCATTTGGACAGCGGAGTTTTTCTTGCTCTGTCATAAAACGTCCACGTGTTGACACAGTTGCTCCTATAAATTGCCATAATATTGACAGAATTGCCAGAATACTGATATATATATATATATATATATATATATATATATATATATATAAAACGATGCAATATGATAAAACAACTAATATAATAAATATACTAAAAAAATATGTACATACCTGAAAATGAATTAATTTCATCTTGTATATAGCCTTTGGTAAGTAAGGTTCTAGCGCTGGGTGGAGTTTCATTAATCTCAAACTCCCACGTATATGTTTCTCCATTTTTAAATGCTGTATTTGATGCTGCTATCTAATTGTGAAAAATATCATGTTAATGTAAAAAGGCAATGATATATCTACAAGTAAAGCAATTTTAATCACAAATATATAACATGAACACACTTTATTGTTGGAATCAGAGCCTCTTAATTTTCCTTTAGCCATAGAGATGAAATGTATATCACTGGAACTAATATGACAATCCTCATGACTACAACATTCTCCCAAGCTGTAAAGTCAAGTTGAAAATAGTCTGTGAGAATAACAGAAATGGCGTAAAAGATTCTGTTGAAATGTGTCACAAAGTTCTACAAACATAAAGACTCATAAATCATTGGGACAATATAGGTTATACCTCAATATAAGAACTCACTGTTGAAATATATTTTGTACAAAACGCAGCTACTTGATTTTTTAATATTGAAATCACGTTAAAGCACACAACGACATACTTTTCACTATAAATAGTTATAAATGTCGTTTATAAAACAAAGAAAAATATGTGAAATCCTACGAATCGCTTATCAGTGAATCGTGACTAATGCTACTGCTCGACACTATTGTCACTATTCCATGCTGTAGCCAATTGCAGTTGTACATGAGAGTGACATCTATCAATGTTACCACCGGCGAATTACACAAAAGTCAATAATTGTTTTGCAATTTAGGTCTATCTTTCTATTCGATCACATATACTACTGAAGAACGAAAGCTATTCTGTCCTATTGTTGAATTTTATTATTCGAAAACAAAGTTGCGGCTGTCCTATTATTGAGTTATATCACGAGCTGGATTTTCCTATATGACTGGTGGCACCTCGTAGCGGAGGTTTTGGAACTAATAACAGCTGTAATGGCTCCTGCACACAGGACGCGGTCGCTTGCCGCGCGGCGGAAGTCCGCGCGACAACCAATTAATATGTTGTTTTTCCGTAAGAGCTAGAAGGTTATTACGGAAAGCAGCATATTGATTGGCTGTCGCGTGAATTTCCTCCGCGCGGCAAGCATTATCGCGTCCTGTGTGCAGAAGCCATAAATCCAGCGGCACACGACGATGCTTGTTTTCATGCTGGTTTACTTACTGGATGGAAATACTCTGTTTTGATTGGTACATTTCTGAAGATAGATGGAAATGCACCAATTAGAACAGAGTATTTCCATTTAGCAAGCAAATCAGTACGAAAACAAGCATCGTGTGTTGCTGGCTTAAGGAATAAACCGTAACGGGTCATTTGACCAAGATTCCAAATTCTACTTTGTTAACTCAAAAACCCTACTTTCATACATTTGTAGAGGTCTATGATTATATATATATATATATATATATATATATATATATATATATATATATATATATATATATATATTTATATTATGACTACATATATACTTTTATAAAGTAACCCATTGTCATTAAAAAAGTAATTAATTATATATTAATTACTTATATGATATATATATATATATATATATATATATATAGAGTATGAATTATGTTTTAATGAGTGACGCAACAATAATTAATTACTTTTTTAATAATAGTGGGTTACTTTATAAAAGTAACTTTCTTATCCTTATCTCTCTTTCGTATATCTCGTTCTTACGTCTCTTTTATTGTTTCAGTGGTGGACATCCTTATTTAACGGGTTTGTCGGATGGAATTTCCTGCTTAGGCGTACAAGGAGCAATATTCGGTCCTTTATTGCTCTGTTGCATCATGGTCGCCATCAACATGAATCGACACTACCTATACATCATCCGCAATGGAGAATAGAACAGTGTATCTGGATACGTCATAATATACGAATCGAAATAACGTTACGCTTATTCACTAATAAGACTAATACTTTAGCTGTGTAACATCGCGAGCTATTAACTCCGACTTCCTCGTTGTATAATAAACGCTGCATCAACGTGCAGCGAGCATACACATGCACGACAGTGCGTACAACTTGCACTTTATATAGGTTTTTCGTTCCTGCACTGCTGAACTGGTGTAATAAGTTAGATCGAGCAAAAATATCTCACTCTAACTTATTGCACCAGTTCAGCATTGCAAGAACAGAAAACAAACCCTATATTTCTATGTGATGAGATGCACGCAATGTTACCGTACGACTTACTCGTATTTAACGGAAGAACCTCAGGTTACGTTTATTAAATTTAAGGATATTTATATTATATATGGTGCGTGTGCGTATATATTTGAAATAATATATTTTTCATTTGTTTTCTCTAAAAAACGAAACGTGTTATTTCTTTTTTTTAATGAATCTGAAATCAAGTAACTGAGTTTTAAATCGTCTTCTGTGAACTTTATATCTCTCGTGCAAGAGATATATTTATATATATTTTTTATATTTATTTCTAGTTACCAATCATTATGTAGAATATTATTTTATGTATCGACAGTGATACGTGTTTTGTCGCAGTATATTGTTTCAGTTTATGTGTATAATTGTTATATTAGTTACCAGTATTAGTTTATGTATGTAGGAACAAATTGTATGTATTACGTCGACATGATACTAACTTCACAGATCTAACATGTTATTTTTTACGTCAAAAACAAAGATATACGGCCAAAGATTACAATAAAAAATTTTTCAACATTTCGTTACGTGTGTTAAACCTCAAATTATAGTTTGTATTGAAGGCGCTAAGCGACCAAGGTATAATCACTACAACACAATGTTTAACATGATGTCTATGATAATCGGTAGTGCTGTGATTACGCTTATTTTTCTCATCGGATTAGAAATTTATTTGCATTATGATAATTATTTTCCATCAAGGACAGCCTGAAGAAAGACGGTACTGTTCCACTTGAGAAAAGTTTATTCTTTTGACTCTTGAGATAATCCGATACATGTGATAAATTCATAAATAATATCTCGTACTACATCTATAATGAATCACGTCAGGGCATCCTAAACGTTAACGTGCGATTAATGTGCATTTTCTGTCTCGACAATATAGTTGTCAGCAAAATTACCACGTGTATTGTAAATGTCAAACAACGTGGTCATTTTTATATCGTCACGCAACAATTCCGTCGTGGTCGCTTCATGCGCATGGAAAATAACTTCTTTCTATTGCTCGAACATGTGAAAGCCTTTTTCGGAGAAAATGCTGCCCATTTCTAACCACACAAACAGCGCTATATTGTCTGTCGTTAATACGAGCTTGAAATCCGGATAATTGAAAAGTTTCCCAGGTAAATAAACATCGATTCTTATCTGAAAGAAAATGAGTTAAATCTGGATTATAAATACGTAAAAAAATTAATCTAAATAAAGTAATCAACTTTTAAAGAAAAATAGGCATTTAGGAGTGTTTTTTTTTTACATTATTGCTCCCAAGTTGATTTTGTGACAGAGTGATATGTTGAATGTGATTATAAATTAGTAATAAATTCACTTACAGTGACATTGGCTATTACTATATCCACGTTTTTTAACGCGGTGAAATAGATCTAATTAACCGGTGCAATTGGAAATTTGGATTCATCCGTGAACGATAAAGTAACCATGCAAGATTTCTTGACGGATTCCAACGAGTCACAACCCGCTTAAGAGAGAGTCAGAAGGTTGAGATTTAAATGGCGTTCTTTGGTGGCTAAAAACGTTAATACAGTACACATCCATACATTTACATATAGACAGCATGTATAGAGTCTAATATACTTACTACTATGATATTATGATAGGATTTAGTGTGTACAGGCGTCATAGATTTCCAATTGTAACTGCAAATATCGACCTAACAATTGTTAACCAGAACAACTGGTTAGATACGACGTATATTATAAGCTCATTGGAGTTCGCTCATCAAGCGCGATAATGGTTGTGAAGAAGTCCTTAGTATAGTAATGAAGTATTTTCCATCGACCTTCGATATCTACAAATATAAAACAAAAAGGTTTTTAGAATAAGAACAATAGAGTACAGTTGGAATTTCATGAACTATATTTAGGTTAATTTTTCTTGTTCTAATCTTGAAATATCAGTGTCTTTGATTACCTAGAGGACCTATAGAGATCATGAAAGCGCTTGCCACACGTCGTTCAACTACAGAGGTCCCATTGTCATACCTTAATCCTATGAAATTTACTTCTGATTTGAGTTACCTGTACCCTTCCGTTTCTACTTTTACAGAAACTGCCTGATTGATCTGACTGAGATACACGTAACTTGCGAAATCTCGGAAACTGTTGTTACTTTGCGGTGTAATGAGGTTCTGCGAGATCAGCATCTTTTGATGAATTCATTGCCGAATTGCAGATGTTGCCAATATTTCACGAAATCGCTATCTGTACTAAAGTCCTTCGCGCTTTCCATACCGGTTGTTATCGTGTATATCGACGGCCAAGATTGAAATCCGTATACAAAACAGAATCTCGTTCTGGGGTACTGAGTCACGTCCCATCTATTTTCTGAGATAATTATAATAGTGAACTAAAAAAAAATCTTTAACGCTGTGACTGCAAAGATTGTACAAAATTAACAACTGCATAATTAGAAACGAAGTTTAAACAAAAAATTACACTTTCCATTATTTTCTACTTTTCCTATTTCTACTTTACCAAACCTTCCGATGTTTCTAAAGAACGCACAGTTTCAAGTTATGAAATTTGTTGTTATTTGGAGCGAGATCCTATATTAATTATGAATATTAATATCAATTGCAATTTGATGATACGTTACCGTCACCGTAGAGATTTGAGTATAGAACTACTCCGGTGTAATTGTACGTTTCCTCGTACGCTCCGTTGCCAGGACTAAATACAAGGAATGGCCTTATGGGATTCAGTATCTCCACTTCCTTCTCTATCAAGTTTATGTAAAGCTTCACACATAATCCGTCTTGTACACCTTAGCCCGTGCCGTACCAATTCCCATGCAGTATCACATAATAATCGCCTGTCCAGAGCAAGATATTCGGGTGATTCCTCAGATATATTATGTTCTGCACAACCCCCTCTTTCACGTTTTTAAAAAACGAGTTGGTAAGACACATGGTGCAATAGAACATGAAATCCTGCCAGATAATAATGCCGTACACGTCGAACAAATCGCAAAATAACTTAGACAAATCTCAGAGAATGCCACCTCAAACTATCAACATGTTCATATACCTCTCCTTGGGAGAAGATAATACTTTCTTCCTCCGCGCCCAACACCGGAAAAACATAGGTCGGGAAAGTTGCTAACTTTCACGAAAATCGGCACATTGTTTATGCAGAAATAAAAGCGTAAACCCTCTCCAACCTGCTCCTGCAACAGCTCTACTGTCTTCAAACTTACAAAAATCTGTTTGTGCAGTACATTATTCGTCCTTGTTCACCGTAATAAACAAATAGTGCAGACTCTGCTCGTCGTAACCGTTTGGCCCCTCAGTTTTCACGGCATCCTACGGAAAAAAAAGCTAAACCACACAATAAAATGACGATATTGTCATTAAAACCATTAAAACCATTAATACATTAAAATACTAAAACATTAGAACAATTAAAATAGTTTATCATCAACCTGATTAAAAAAAAAACTTATATCAACTAAAAAAGCAAATTTTCTAAACTTTGGATATAAAATTGATTTAAAGAAAATCCTCTCCACTTCGAGAAATGTATGATATTATTTTCCAAACCAAATAAGACATCACGGTGCAAACTGTACTCCCATCCGATTACGCGTTCTCAAGTAACAAGCCCCGAAAGATTCAAAAGCGACGGAAAGGTGCGATTCCAGGTGTGCGATAGAAAAATTTGAAACACATGATAACATTCTCTTGCCCAAATAACACGTCGCGGTGCAAACCGTATTGTCGTCCGATCGCGCGTTCTCGAGCAATAAGCCCCGAAAGATTGTCAGGTGTCAAAAAGGAGCGATTCCAAATGTGCGATAAAAAAATTTGAAACACATGATAACATTCTCTTGCCCAAATAACACGTCGCGGTGCAAACCGTATTGTCGTCCGATCGCGCGTTCTCGAGCAATAAGCCCCGAAAGATTGTCAGGTGTCAAAAAGGAGCGATTCCAAATGTGCGATAAAAAAATTTGAAACACATGATAACATTCTCTTGCCCAAATAACACGTCGCGGTGCAAACCGTATTGTCGTCCGATCGCGCGTTCTCGAGCAATAAGCCCCGAAAGATTGTCAGGTGTCAAAAAGGAGCGATTCCAAATGTGCGATAAAAAAATTTGAAACACATGATAACATTCTCTTGCCCAAATAACACGTCGCGGTGCAAACCGTATTGTCGTCCGATCGCGCGTTCTCGAGCAATAAGCCCCGAAAGATTGTCAGGTGTCAAAAAGGAGCGATTCCAAATGTGCGATAAAAAAATTTGAAACACATGATAACATTCTCTTGCCCAAATAACACGTCGCGGTGCAAACCGTATTGTCGTCCGATCGCGCGTTCTCGAGCAATAAGCCCCGAAAGATTGTCAGGTGTCAAAAAGGAGCGATTCCAAATGTGCGATAAAAAAATTTGAAACACATGATAACATTCTCTTGCCCAAATAACACGTCGCGGTGCAAACCGTATTGTCGTCCGATCGCGCGTTCTCGAGCAATAAGCCCCGAAAGATTGTCAGGTGTCAAAAAGGAGCGATTCCAAATGTGCGATAAAAAAATTTGAAACACATGATAACATTCTCTTGCCCAAATAACACGTCGCGGTGCAAACCGTATTGTCGTCCGATCGCGCGTTCTCGAGCAATAAGCCCCGAAAGATTGTCAGGTGTCAAAAAGGAGCGATTCCAAATGTGCGATAAAAAAATTTGAAACACATGATAACATTCTCTTGCCCAAATAACACGTCGCGGTGCAAACCGTATTGTCGTCCGATCGCGCGTTCTCGAGCAATAAGCCCCGAAAGATTGTCAGGTGTCAAAAAGGAGCGATTCCAAATGTGCGATAAAAAAATTTGAAACACATGATAACATTCTCTTGCCCAAATAACACGTCGCGGTGCAAACCGTATTGTCGTCCGATCGCGCGTTCTCGAGCAATAAGCCCCGAAAGATTGTCAGGTGTCAAAAAGGAGCGATTCCAAATGTGCGATAAAAAAATTTGAAACACATGATAACATTCTCTTGCCCAAATAACACGTCGCGGTGCAAACCGTATTGTCGTCCGATCGCGCGTTCTCGAGCAATAAGCCCCGAAAGATTGTCAGGTGTCAAAAAGGAGCGATTCCAAATGTGCGATAAAAAAATTTGAAACACATGATAACATTCTCTTGCCCAAATAACACGTCGCGGTGCAAACCGTATTGTCGTCCGATCGCGCGTTCTCGAGCAATAAGCCCCGAAAGATTGTCAGGTGTCAAAAAGGAGCGATTCCAAATGTGCGATAAAAAAATTTGAAACACATGATAACATTCTCTTGCCCAAATAACACGTCGCGGTGCAAACCGTATTGTCGTCCGATCGCGCGTTCTCGAGCAATAAGCCCCGAAAGATTGTCAGGTGTCAAAAAGGAGCGATTCCAAATGTGCGATAAAAAAATTTGAAACACATGATAACATTCTCTTGCCCAAATAACACGTCGCGGTGCAAACCGTATTGTCGTCCGATCGCGCGTTCTCGAGCAATAAGCCCCGAAAGATTGTCAGGTGTCAAAAAGGAGCGATTCCAAATGTGCGATAAAAAAATTTGAAACACATGATAACATTCTCTTGCCCAAATAACACGTCGCGGTGCAAACCGTATTGTCGTCCGATCGCGCGTTCTCGAGCAATAAGCCCCGAAAGATTGTCAGGTGTCAAAAAGGAGCGATTCCAAATGTGCGATAAAAAAATTTGAAACACATGATAACATTCTCTTGCCCAAATAACACGTCGCGGTGCAAACCGTATTGTCGTCCGATCGCGCGTTCTCGAGCAATAAGCCCCGAAAGATTGTCAGGTGTCAAAAAGGAGCGATTCCAAATGTGCGATAAAAAAATTTGAAACACATGATAACATTCTCTTGCCCAAATAACACGTCGCGGTGCAAACCGTATTGTCGTCCGATCGCGCGTTCTCGAGCAATAAGCCCCGAAAGATTGTCAGGTGTCAAAAAGGAGCGATTCCAAATGTGCGATAAAAAAATTTGAAACACATGATAACATTCTCTTGCCCAAATAACACGTCGCGGTGCAAACCGTATTGTCGTCCGATCGCGCGTTCTCGAGCAATAAGCCCCGAAAGATTGTCAGGTGTCAAAAAGGAGCGATTCCAAATGTGCGATAAAAAAATTTGAAACACATGATAACATTCTCTTGCCCAAATAACACGTCGCGGTGCAAACCGTATTGTCGTCCGATCGCGCGTTCTCGAGCAATAAGCCCCGAAAGATTGTCAGGTGTCAAAAAGGAGCGATTCCAAATGTGCGATAAAAAAATTTGAAACACATGATAACATTCTCTTGCCCAAATAACACGTCGCGGTGCAAACCGTATTGTCGTCCGATCGCGCGTTCTCGAGCAATAAGCCCCGAAAGATTGTCAGGTGTCAAAAAGGAGCGATTCCAAATGTGCGATAAAAAAATTTGAAACACATGATAACATTCTCTTGCCCAAATAACACGTCGCGGTGCAAACCGTATTGTCGTCCGATCGCGCGTTCTCGAGCAATAAGCCCCGAAAGATTGTCAGGTGTCAAAAAGGAGCGATTCCAAATGTGCGATAAAAAAATTTGAAACACATGATAACATTCTCTTGCCCAAATAACACGTCGCGGTGCAAACCGTATTGTCGTCCGATCGCGCGTTCTCGAGCAATAAGCCCCGAAAGATTGTCAGGTGTCAAAAAGGAGCGATTCCAAATGTGCGATAAAAAAATTTGAAACACATGATAACATTCTCTTGCCCAAATAACACGTCGCGGTGCAAACCGTATTGTCGTCCGATCGCGCGTTCTCGAGCAATAAGCCCCGAAAGATTGTCAGGTGTCAAAAAGGAGCGATTCCAAATGTGCGATAAAAAAATTTGAAACACATGATAACATTCTCTTGCCCAAATAACACGTCGCGGTGCAAACCGTATTGTCGTCCGATCGCGCGTTCTCGAGCAATAAGCCCCGAAAGATTGTCAGGTGTCAAAAAGGAGCGATTCCAAATGTGCGATAAAAAAATTTGAAACACATGATAACATTCTCTTGCCCAAATAACACGTCGCGGTGCAAACCGTATTGTCGTCCGATCGCGCGTTCTCGAGCAATAAGCCCCGAAAGATTGTCAGGTGTCAAAAAGGAGCGATTCCAAATGTGCGATAAAAAAATTTGAAACACATGATAACATTCTCTTGCCCAAATAACACGTCGCGGTGCAAACCGTATTGTCGTCCGATCGCGCGTTCTCGAGCAATAAGCCCCGAAAGATTGTCAGGTGTCAAAAAGGAGCGATTCCAAATGTGCGATAAAAAAATTTGAAACACATGATAACATTCTCTTGCCCAAATAACACGTCGCGGTGCAAACCGTATTGTCGTCCGATCGCGCGTTCTCGAGCAATAAGCCCCGAAAGATTGTCAGGTGTCAAAAAGGAGCGATTCCAAATGTGCGATAAAAAAATTTGAAACACATGATAACATTCTCTTGCCCAAATAACACGTCGCGGTGCAAACCGTATTGTCGTCCGATCGCGCGTTCTCGAGCAATAAGCCCCGAAAGATTGTCAGGTGTCAAAAAGGAGCGATTCCAAATGTGCGATAAAAAAATTTGAAACACATGATAACATTCTCTTGCCCAAATAACACGTCGCGGTGCAAACCGTATTGTCGTCCGATCGCGCGTTCTCGAGCAATAAGCCCCGAAAGATTGTCAGGTGTCAAAAAGGAGCGATTCCAAATGTGCGATAAAAAAATTTGAAACACATGATAACATTCTCTTGCCCAAATAACACGTCGCGGTGCAAACCGTATTGTCGTCCGATCGCGCGTTCTCGAGCAATAAGCCCCGAAAGATTGTCAGGTGTCAAAAAGGAGCGATTCCAAATGTGCGATAAAAAAATTTGAAACACATGATAACATTCTCTTGCCCAAATAACACGTCGCGGTGCAAACCGTATTGTCGTCCGATCACGCGTTCTCGAGCAAGAAGCCCCGAAAGATTGGCAGGTGTCAAAAAGGTGCGATTCCCAATTTGCGATAAAAAAATTTGAAACACATGATAGCATTCTCTTGTCGAAATAAGACGTCGCGATGCAAACCGTATTGTCGTCCGATCACGCGTTCTCGCGCAATAAGCCCCGAAAGATTGTCAGGTGTCACAAAGGTGCGATTCCAGGTGTGCGATAAAAAAATTCGAAACACATGATGACATTCTCTTGTCCAAATAACACATCGCGGTGCAATCCGTATTGTCGTCCGATCACGCGTTCTCGCGCAATAAGCCCCGAAAGATTGTCAGGTGTCACAAAGGTGCGATTCCAGGTGTGCGATAAAAAAATTCGAAACACATGATGACATTCTCTTGTCCAAATAACACATCGCGGTGCAATCCGTATTGTCGTCCGATCACGCGTTCTCGCGCAATAAGCCCCGAAAGATTGTCAGGTGTCACAAAGGTGCGATTCCAGGTGTGCGATAAAAAAATTCGAAACACATGATGACATTCTCTTGTCCAAATAACACATCGCGGTGCAATCCGTATTGTCGTCCGATCACGCGTTCTCGCGCAATAAGCCCCGAAAGATTGTCAGGTGTCACAAAGGTGCGATTCCAGGTGTGCGATAAAAAAATTCGAAACACATGATGACATTCTCTTGTCCAAATAACACATCGCGGTGCAATCCGTATTGTCGTCCGATCACGCGTTCTCGCGCAATAAGCCCCGAAAGATTGTCAGGTGTCACAAAGGTGCGATTCCAGGTGTG